TTTTTGCGGATACAGACTAACACGGCTGCTACTCTGAAACCTGACATAGTGCACTGGCATTGAAGATCCCATAGTGCTTTTCATAACTGTGTGCTTGTGCCCTGAAATTGGACAAAAGTAATGCATGTTTTCCCACTTGGCTGCCACACTTTACCTTAGAGGAGGCTGCACTTCAGTGCTGTGGTAAGCATATAATTGATGAAATGTTTTGAGGTTCTTGGGATGAAAAGTACTGCACAGATGTGTAGCATAGAGTGTTAGCGAGTGACTGGACATGTATATGGATAACAAGAATATCTGGAGTTCTGATAGCTAATACTAAAAATAAAATGGAAGGGATATTAAACCTCATGCTTAAGGTCCTAAATCAGCCTTTAACTTTTATGAATTAGAATGAGATTTTTCAGGGGGGTGGGAGCAGATTATCCCACATATATCTGTTGTAGGGGTTTCTCTGAAATATCTGATGCTGGCCATTGACAAGATACTGAATTAAATGAGCCACAGGTCTGATTCAGTATGGGAATTCCTGTGTAACATTTTATTGTAATGAACTAGTAATGTGTATGTGTACCACTGCCCTCCTTTGCATAGATTCAGAACAGGTAACTGTGGGTCCTATGCCCTACATGGCTCATGGAGATTCTCCTTTAGTTTAAATAGTAGGGGATGTCACTTTTGGAGCAAAAGGATCTGGGTTCTATCATTGCCATGAAGTTCTGAGGGGCTTGGTGTACAGCAGAGTGACAAAGGTCAAGTCCCAAGAGGCCACATTTGACCTGTTATTACTAAATGGATTTGTGCAAAGTTTTCATGATGTTTCGTGCAGCTAAAGGTTGGGCAGACATTTTGTGTAGACCAACATTTTAAAAACATGGGACTGAACGTGCGGAGAGACAGAAGAGCGCTGATAGATTTTGGGAAGCATAGATCATGGTAAAGTTGAAGTGTACTACTAATCTGTGAGATCAAGCAGAAATACATGGAGAATTCAAGAATTCTCTGCAGTTGAGAATGCTGGTAGTTTTAAAACTTTTGAAACTCACTGCACAAACTTCTATGTCTCTGATTTAATTCAGTATATGAAACTACTATGTGTATTTTTAGTTGAACTCTAAGGTGACCATAATGTCTTTTATCTAAGAACCAAATGAACAATATCAACAAATGATCATTACAAAATGGTATTTAATATTTTCTAGGATAAAGTGACCTGAAAGAATTAAGATGAACATGTTTTACTCAGAGAAAGAAACACATTATTGCTCCAAGTTCAGGATTAGCAATGATTGAAAGCCAAAAGGTTTGGGGATTTGATTTAGTTTGGAAAATCATCCATATGTGTGGAGCCTTCTCTAAACCTTTTTGCTACACTGTAAAAAGGGGTGTATTTTAACATGTTAATGTGTAAAATTCTAGTGAATACAAGGCAAATTGTTGTTTTAACGAGTTGGCTGGTCATGGTAAACTGTAGGGGAGTTGACCAGCAAACACACAATAAAACTACAACTTACCTTGGCTTTGCAGAGATTTTAAACATGTTAAAAACACACCTTTTTCCTAGTGAAAACGAGACCTAGGAGTCGGGGTCTAGCTCTGTTATGCTCTCTCCCCCTACAGTTGTCATGTTGAACCCAGCTCTCTGCCTCTTCATCTGTATTATCTTAATAGATCCTTACAGTTGTTTTTGACGATCCCATTATGAGCCCAGCAGTCCTGGCTAGCGTGGATTTCATATTTCATGTACCTTGGTGGTACGCACATGAAAGCATGTGGGAAATTTGAATTCAAGGACAGCAAAAGGCCACTGAAGCACCTAGGGGAGTTATTGGAGTATTGGGGGTGCTCTTCCAAGGTGAAGGAAGACTCTGTGTCTTTGGTTAGCTTGTGTGGATGGAAGAGATGTTAGTACTTATTGGAGGATTGCAGGGTTGGCAGAGTAGGCAAAGAGAAATCCTCTCACTGAATCTGGGCCTGGGGAAAGGTTTTGGTTGGTTCTGGTGTGTTGGGAGACCAAAGACTGGGATTGTTCTTTCTTTGCCTTCTATTACGTATGTCCTCAGCCACCCTTGTTAGATAAATTATCAACTTCATGTTCAAACAGGAACCAGAACACTTTGATCCCGTGCGTTTAGTCTAGTGAAAACAACCTCAGTGTTTGTATCATTGTTATTGACGTTAAAATTACTGTATTTTTTAAAAAAACATGAGAGTAAATTAGAAGTAGGTCATTATCCAATGAGAAGTTGACATTAAATACCATCGCCTGATGAGCTGACAGCACCTGAAATATTTGGCCGTTTCAGAAGCCTGCCTAGTCTATTGTGATGGGTCTTCAAATAAGAGAGCATCTCAAGAGCCTGAACAATAATAATGGTGAATGGCTGCTTGCACCGGGTAGTGAATAAAAGACTTACATATGCCTGTGCTGAGATG